CAATTGTTTGGTGCGTCAGGCAGTATAGATAATGGTAATGGGTTGGAGCCCAGCTTGAGGCTGCTGGCGTTTATGTAACTTCCAAGCCGGGCTCGGTTGGGGCTGAGGCTAATCTCTCCCAAAATATATATGATGCTGGCCTCATTTCCCCCCTCATAATTCCCAGGGTGCTGGGTTTGCAAATTCCTGTATAGGATTTGCAGGAGAGAAGCTCAGGGGGAGCAAAGAAAGGGGGAAATGCAGGGGACTACAAGTCCCAGCATCCCCTGCAAACACCGTCATTGGGGACTGACAAAGCTGTGGTCCCAAAAGGTCACTGGAGGTCGATCCTAGGACTGCATTGCGGGATCTGACAAGGAATCACTAGATCCTTCATAATATTAATGATGAAGGTGATGTTGAGGATGATGAAGGCTATCTAGATCCTTAGTAATATGAATGAGAAGGAATCTCTAGATCCATAATATTAATGATGAAGGTGATGTTGAGGATGATGAAGACTATCTAGATCCTTATTAATATGAATGAGAAGGAATCTCTAGATCCATAATATTAATGATGAAGGTGATGTTGAGGATGATGAAGACTATCTAGATCCTTATTAATATGAATGAGAAGGAATCTCTAGATCCATAATATTAATGATGAAGGTGATGTTGAGGATGATGAAGACTATCTAGATCCTTATTAATATGAATGAGAAGGAATCTCTAGATCCATAATATTAATGATGAAGGTGATGTTGAGGATGATGAAGACTATCTAGATCCTTATTAATATGAATGAGAAGGAATCTCTAGATCCGTAATATTAATGATGAAGGTGATGTTGAGGATGATGAAGACTATCTACATCCTTAATAAAATGAATGAGAAGGAATCTCTAGATCCGTAATATTAATGATGAAGGTGATGTTGAGGATGATGAAGACTATCTAGATCCTTAATAAAATGAATGAGAAGGAATCTCTAGATCCGTAATATTAATGATGAAGGTGATGTTGAGGATGATGAAGACTATCTAGATCCTTATTAATATGAATGAGAAGGAATCTCTAGATCCGTAATATTAATGATGAAGGTGATGTTGAGGATGATGAAGACTATCTAGATCCTTAATAAAATGAATGAGAGGAATCTCTAGATCCATAATATTAATGATGAAGGTGATGTTGAGGATGATGAAGACTATCTAGATCCTTATTAATATGAATGAGAAGGAATCTCTAGATCCATAATATTAATGATGAAGGTGATGTTGAGGATGATGAAGACTATCTAGATCCTTATTAATATGAATGAGAAGGAATCTCTAGATCCGTAATATTAATGATGAAGGTGATGTTGAGGATGATGAAGACTATCTAGATCCTTATTAATATGAATGAGAAGGAATCTCTAGATCCGTAATATTAATGATGAAGGTGATGTTGAGGATGATGAAGACTATCTAGATCCTTATTAATATGAATGAGAAGGAATCTCTAGATCCATAATATTAATGATGAAGGTGATGTTGAGGATGATGAAGACTATCTAGATCCTTATTAATATGAATGAGAAGGAATCTCTAGATCCATAATATTAATGATGAAGGTGATGTTGAGGATGATGAAGACTATCTAGATCCTTATTAATATGAATGAGAAGGAATCTCTAGATCCATAATATTAATGATGAAGGTGATGTTGAGGATGATGAAGACTATCTAGATCCTTATTAATATGAATGAGAAGGAATCTCTAGATCCGTAATATTAATGATGAAGGTGATGTTGAGGATGATGAAGACTATCTAGATCCTTATTAATATGAATGAGAAGGAATCTCTAGATCCATAATATTAATGATGAAGGTGATGTTGAGGATGATGAAGACTATCTAGATCCTTATTAATATGAATGAGAAGGAATCTCTAGATCCGTAATATTAATGATGAAGGTGATGTTGAGGATGATGAAGACTATCTAGATCCTTATTAATATGAATGAGAAGGAATCTCTAGATCCATAATATTAATGATGAAGGTGATGTTGAGGATGATGAAGACTATCTAGATCCTTATTAATATGAATGAGAAGGAATCTCTAGATCCATAATATTAATGATGAAGGTGATGTTGAGGATGATGAAGACTATCTAGATCCTTATTAATATGAATGAGAAGGAATCTCTAGATCCATAATATTAATGATGAAGGTGATGTTGAGGATGATGAAGACTATCTAGATCCTTAATAAAATGAATGAGAAGGAATCTCTAGATCCGTAATATTAATGATGAAAGTAATGTTGAGGATGATGAAGACTATCTAGATC